ACTATCCTCCCTATACATACATATAAAATTTCCCCTTCTTTCCCTTCTCTTTTCCACATCCCAGTTGCCCTTTAACCTTGAGTGCTTTCCTATCAATTCACAATGTTTATCATATCTCCTGGTTTAAATTAACTCTTTCAGGTTTTACACTAGTGAAAACAATGCGGTGCTTGCACATGTATGTTTGATTTATTTCACTTATGAGTATGGTCTCTAGTTGTGACCATTTACCTATAAAAGCCTCGAGTTTATCTTTCTTTACAGCTGAGTAATATTCCATTATATGAAAGTACCACAATTTTCTTATCCATTCCTCGGTGGATGGACATTTGGGTTGCTTCCACATTTTAGCAATTACAGATTGTGCTGCTATGAACATAGGTGCACATACATCACTGTGATATGATGTTTTTAGATCTTCTGGGAAAATACCCAACAGGGGCATAGCTGGGTTGAATGGGACCTCTAGACCTAGTTATCGGAGGAATCTCCAAACTGATTTCCACAGTGGTTTCACCAGTCTGCATTCCCACCAGCAGTGGAGAAGGGTTCCTATTTCTCCACAGCCTCGCCAGCATTTGTTCTTGGTTGATTTATTAATGCTAGCCATTCTTACTGGGGTAAGGTGGAATCTCAGTGTTGTTTTAATTTGCATTTCTTGAATGACTAATGATGTTGAACATTTTCTCATATATTTATTTGCCATTTGTATCTCCTTGTCTGAGAAGTGTGTATTCATCTCCGCTGCCCATTTTTGGATTGGGTCTTTGAATTTGGAGGGGCTGATATTTTTTAATTCTTTCTATGTTCTAGATAGAAGCCCTTTGTCCGAGGGGCAATCAGCTAAAATTTTTTCCAAGTTTGTGGGTTTTCTTTTGACTCTGCTGGTGATTTCTTTAGATGTGCAGAAACTTTTCAGTAGGATGAGATCCCAGTTGTTGATTCTTTCAAGTGCTTGCAGGTAATTTTGATACATACTAAAATCTGAACGTCAGTACTGAAAGCAACAAATACCCAAAATACATTCTTAAATTTAAAAAGGGACATGCTAGGAAGAGGGGAGGGTTAGCAACTGGAAGACAGCAAAGGAGGGGGAGAAAGGGAAGGAAACCAGAGGGCAGAGTGGGGCACAGGTGTGCTCACTGTGGAAATGTCACAGTGAAAGTCATTGCTGTGTATAATTAGTACATGCTAATAAAAAGTGACATGATTAGTTTTTAAATTCCTCCCTGATAGACTTTGCTACAAAGGTGAACATTTTAAAAATCATTTTGATGGAGCCCACTTTCACTGCTCTGAATTGAAATGGTCTTTCCAATAAACACTAATAAAGTTTCATGAAACAATGTGTTTGTGTCATGAAAGAAATAAAATGTTCACAGCAAAGGCAGAGCGCTTCCTTCCTCATGGCGGAGTCTGGTAGAGCATAGGTACGTAAGTTGATATGCTGCCATCTGCTTTATGTGCCTACATTTTCTTCTGGGTTATGTTAGCACACTTTTTAATTGAATCTCAAGTCCTTGGAAATTAGCTATTAAGGCATAATGGATTTTGAATTTTTGAAAATTGAAAATAATACTTCTTAGAATAATTCCTTTCAAAAGCTACAAGAAATAGTGTCGAAAAGAAGAGAGCAGCACCTTTAACCATAACAAAAGGGAATTACCTTAAAGTGCTAGGTTCAAAATTGCTCTAAAAAAGAGAAAGCGGAAGGCAAGCCAGAGGGAAGATTGCCCATGGGTAAAAATCACCAGCATTGTGTTGCCTCAGCTGGCCTGCAAAGACTCCTACAGGGCAAGTTACCCAATCACTTTTTATTTGTTTGTAAATGTGCCTACATGACTTTCTGTCAAGTACCCTGTATCCCGGGAATCTTATTAGGTTCAGTTACTCATTATTTTAAAGCTTTCTGCAGTATTCAGTATAATCTTTCCACTCTATTCCTTGTTCATTATTGCTTGGTTTTATCTGCCAACATCCAAGTGTTTTATGGTTTAGACCTAGAATGTCCCCCAAAAGTCTCATGAGTTCACAAGCGGGTGTTTTGGGAAGTGATTAATCAGTATGAGATCAATATACTCATCAGTGGATTAATCTGTTGATGAGTTTGTGACTAAAGGTGCTGTTGGCAGGAAGGACCTGGTTGGAAGAGATGTGTCCCCAGAGATGTGCCTGTGGAAGGTTCAGACCCACCCCAGCTCCTCTGTCTCCCCATTTCTGATTGCCATGAATGAGCATCTTTCCTCTGCCATGCCTTTCTGCCATGCCAATTTTTGCATTTGAGCCAATCAGCTGTAGAATGAATACTAAAAATCTTGAACCAAAATAAACCTATCTTCCTTTACATCATCCCGTTGATGGAAGGGTAACAAATAGAAGCACATAAACATTTCAATAAAAAGGTAATAAATAATTCTGATAGGTTCTTTATTTTTTCTAATATTTTATGTACCATGCATTTGAAGGACACTTAATATCAGGATATTTTGAAAGATTTTTTTTTACATGTTCTATTTTTCTCCAATATCAGAATCTTGGCGTGATTAACATGGTAAATACAGCAGCAAAAAGAATATGATTGATTAAATAAATATGTGTGTGTGTGTGCACATAAAAACTTGGAAGAGGTATTATTTCTTGGCATTTTTTGGTTATCTTCAGACTTGAATTGATGGAAAAGAAAACTGTACAGGAAAGGTATTATTTTAGCTACTTTCTCTTGCTAGGACAAAATATTCAACACTTGTAAGTTACAGGAGGAAAGGTTTATTATCGCTCATAGTTTGTAGAGGCTTCAGTCCATAGTCATCTGGCTCCAGTGCAGGGCAACATGGCAGAGGCATGGCATGGCAGAAGACAAACAGTCCTTGGCAGGGCAACCAGCAAGCAGTAGGAAATCATACTCTCCCAGACCATGCCCACAGTGACCCACCTCTTCCCACCAGGCTTCCACTCCCAATGTCACACCCAGGGATAAACCACAAGTGGACTAATCCAGTGTCATGCGCTCATGATCCCATTACCTCACAAAAGTCCAACCTGTGAGTGCATGAGGCTTTGCAGAGATGTCTATATTAAGCCTTAACAAGAATTTTTCCTATGCATAATACATGCCATTGAAATAGGATTAATTCCAAATGTAGAAGCTGATCAAAGCAGGTCTTGATCAAGCAGAAGATTGATATTCAGGCATCATCTACATTCCTGAGGCAACTTGTCACTGTGTTCAAATTTCATTTATACACTTACATGAGATCGTGTCCCTTTGTTTTATTAGTTATACTCACATTTGATTGGGCATTAGAATAGCAATGTGAATAATTTATTTAGTACTATGTGTTAATATTTGGTTGCATGCAGGAATTTTAAGATCTGTCTAATGAGTATATATTTAGGCCTTTCCATCACGTAGAAGAGTATTCATTTTTGTTTTTCATTTATTAAATAGATCTCCATTTGTCATTTCCTTAGGAAATGAACACAAACTACATATGTGTATCAACTTCATGGGTCAATACTCTAAGTAAACATTAAATCATTGGATTATCTTTTATTCAAAATATCCAGACAGATGACTATAAATATTAGTCACATGGCCACTAAATTTTAAGCTACTATACTTAAATTGATTCATTTCAAATCTGATCTTTTGTTTTACATCAGAGAATTCTGATTCAATAAAATACTTTCCAGACAAAAGACTCTTTCTATGTCTCTATACAGTTCAGGCAATTCCATCTGAGTGCCAGCAAACATTCAGCATTTAAGATTGTGGCATTATGATGGATAGTAGTGCATTCCTTAATATATCAACCCTTTTCCAACTGTGGTTATATTATTGTGCTTCTCAAAATAATTAATTCAACACCAGTGCCTCTGAAACACTCTTCACAATTAAATTGTAATTCACAGAGATCTATCTGCCAGTAACTCTTAAACTTTTTGTTATCATGATGTCATTCTTCATCATTCCTCAATTTTGCACCCCATATTTATCAAGGCATATATTTATTTTACTGATACAGTTAACCAATATTTATTGATCACTTGCTATTAACCAAATTTATGTTGCTGGCATTTAGCACACTTTTTAGGATACTCTGTAGGGCATGGCAAGTTCTTTACTTCCTGGAAGTTACAAACTAGCCTTCTTTCTTTTATTTTCAAAATAAAGTGCAGTAATGCATTTAAATAGGAACCAGGGGCTGAAGAACTTTTGCAATAGCCTTTGAGGTACATAGAAAGTTATACAACAAAGTTTAGAATCATGGTCTAATTGAATTTTCATCTATAAAATATCCAGCAATGAAATAAGTTACGTACATTTATTTTGCTTATCTGGGTAATGTCTTAAATTCTACAGAAAGCCGTAATGATTATCTAAAACGAGCGTATGCTGAATTGGACCATGACTACAATTTGTGCTTAAGTAGCTAGGAAGTCAGTCTGATTGTGCATTAAACACTTCATGTCACAAAGGTGAAACTGAGTCAGTTTTTGCTTAAAAAGAATAAATATCCAATTAGATTCTCTGAAGAAGCAAAGAGTAAACACCACTTGGTAGACTCCACTTGGCTTTTACCCTTGTTTTTCCACTGCAGAATTTAAGCACTTAATTCCTTTTTAGAGAATGCATGCAATGAGAAGTTACAGAATGAGTGTGCTGAGTGACATAATGATTAATTGGAGTGAAGAGAGAGGGAGAGGAGGGCAGGTGAAGAAAACATTTAACATGTGCTATGTACACGTATCAACTTTCCATGATGAATGTAGTCATTATGTAGTGTAAACATGTAATAATAAAATGTTTTAAACAAAATAATGAACTTCTTTTGTCATACACTAAACAGAAGGAAGTAGTGTTTTGCAATGTATATCGGGACCACTAAGGGTTGTACCACATTTTCTGAAATCTGTAGGCATATAGATTTGCACGGCACTGCTGAAAACACTGTCACGCTTCTCTTCACTTAGTTTTTTCCTGCTTCATTTCTTTGCAGAGCGATTCAATGTTTATCTCATGCCTACACCAAATCTGGATATTTATGGTGAATGCACAATGCAGATCACGCACGAGAATATCTATCTCTGGGATATCCACAATGCCAAGGTCAAGTTGGTGATGTGGCCCCTCAGCTCCCTAAGGAGATACGGCCGGGACTCAACATGGTTCACCTTTGAGTCTGGAAGGTAAGCGCTAATGCAGGGACCACACTCCAGAGGCATGGAACGCACTCCAGAGAGGAAAATCCTGCTCTAACTTGCTAGGGGTGCGCTTTATTTTTATAAAGATTAGAAGTTAACAAATACAAATTTTCTTCAGATTCTTAGTGATAAAATGAAAGAAAAATGTACTAATTCTATGACAGATTAGTCACCTCATTCAAAATAAATTTTAATCTGTTACACTAGCATCAAATTATTTTAGTAATGCAGTGTAACTTACAGTAGTATTATAATACTGGTTTTTGACTTATGCTCATACAAGAAGATTCACATAAAAGTTAATATGTCCTTCTTTGCATTATTTTTGTGAATTCATATATGAAAGCAACCTTAGGGTGTTTTTATAAAATTAAGTATCACTTTTGAGGATTGTAGTAAGTTATGCCACTCATTCATCCAGATGTTTATGCTAATGACATTAGTAATTAAATATAATACCAAAGCAGAATGAAGAAATATTGGCATATCATAATTTATGAAATGTGTAGCTGTGACTTTAAACCTAGTATGTCAAGGCAAATATGTTGGTTTCTCCATCACACCATATGGTTGGAATCTATAAATGTTTAAAATGAGTGCTTAATTCACAATCATTATTCATAGATAGACATGGATTTAAACTTGAGCTACATGCAACAAAATCAATTTTTTTTACTATAACTCCTTTGTGATATCGTTGTCTGGCACCCAAGATAAGACTTAGGTGTTTGGATTCTGTATGAGAAATATATATTTAGTGCATCAGTTTTCACATACTGGACATGATTGTAACACGGCAAAAAATGAATCTGTATTCCTAAAAGGTAATTATTAGTGAAGTTTCATTGCATTTGATATAGCAATTTAAGTCTTCAATTTCTCTTTTAAAAAACTGTTAAATATTTATTCAAGGTTATGCTCTAATAATATTCATTTATTATAGGTCATTATAGGTCTTTTAAAATTTTAAGGAGAAAAGAAAAACCTGAGCTAAAAATAATTTTACCAGTCGGTTTAATTTTGCACTGAGGAAATGTTAAATATATTAAATTCTCCATCCTGCTAACTTCTCTAAAGAGTATTTTATCTTTTCTTTGCTTAGTAACTAGGAGCACCTTCAAAGCAATGGTCTATTTTTGCCTACCTAAAAATTGAAAGTAATCCTAATCATTTTATGGATAATTATTGAGAAATAAGAATTTTAATAGCAAAATTAATATTTTAGACATGCACACTGCTTAAAAATTATATCATCATGAGAAAGAGATTATATTTTTATAGTCATCCACCTAAAATCTATGATACATTGGGTTTTTTATTGACCTTAAAAGTTTTATATACATATAATATATATTTTATACATAGTTTTATATATATATTACATATATATATATATATATAATATATATATATATGGCTTTGCTGGTTTACTTGTTTTTTTTCCTTCCTTTGGTTTTTTGAAATAGGGTCTCACTCTATACTTTAGCCTGGACTTGAACTCATTTTGTGGCCCAAGCTGGCCTTGAACTCAGGGTGATCTTCCTGCCTCAGCCTCAGGAGTGATGGGATTACAGGCTTGTGCCACTACACCAGCTGTTTGCTTATTTGCTTACTTTTTTTTAGTCACTCAATAACACTATTTCCAGGTTCCCATCCCCTTGTCTTTCTCCTGAGTATGCCCATCTTCCTTTTTTTATGTAGAACAATTTAACTCTTATCTGCTTTGTCATTAGAAGAGGCTTCTTTCTTATGATTTTAAACAACAAATAACTTACTTTTTTTCTTGGTTTTTCAGAACTTTCATTCCATTTATACCCCTCTGTATTAGGTTTTGATAATTTCCTTTTATATTTTCTATTTTCATTTATTTTTATGTTTTTGACAATTTCTTATTCTTTCAAAGTCTTTCAGGGAAGTGAACTGTCTCTCCACAAGATTTAAAATTGTAATTCTCAGCCAAAGTTCCAATCTACTTGATGCACATCTTGACTTGTCTGACACCATAAGTTGGTCTTCTATGATCATGATGATTTCTAATATCTTTAAAACATATGAGAAAACACAACTACACTAGAATAAATAAAAGCTATAATCTTCAAAAATTCTTATTGATTTGGATAATTTTTGTTTCATCCTTGTTTGCCAGAATAGCTTTTTTTTTTTTTAAGTACCAGAAATCTAACTCAAGACCTTGTGCTTGCCAGGCAGGTGCTGTGCTGCTGAGCTAAATCCCTAGCCCCCAGAATAGCTTTTTTAAAAATTAGCATTTTAATATCTAAATATCATCTTGATCCCCACATTCTTATGTACTCTGGGAATTAGAGAAAGTTATATTTAGATTGCAGGTCTGTCAGTTAACATTTCACTTGGACTGTGACCCCTCTGTAGCTGCATTTTCTCCTTTGTATTAGGAGAATTATAATTTCTATTTTCTAGCCACGTTTAAAGAACCTGAGTGAGTGACTGTGTTTGAAGCTGCAATGCCTCAATATTCCATCATGGACATTTAAGATCATGACTCCTCACGCTTTCTCAGAACTGACACAGTGTCCTGTTTCTTCCAACTCTCACTGTGCATAATGCTGCTAATATAGATCTTTAGCTAAAATTACAGGAAATGTAGGCCAAAACAAGCCAAGTGCAAAGCTTGGAAGAGCCTTGCCTTTAAAAGCTTACGAGATAATTATAAATCCTGCTTTAGAAATAGAAATCAGTGTTACTTGCCATGAGTCAAGAATTTGTGGCCCATTGTGAAAATTAAACTGGCACAGTAAGACTTTGGGGAACAAAAGGAAGGGAAATACAGAACAACTGTTTTGTTTTCCAACTGCAACTAGGAGGAAAACTATGGGTTAGTACTGTAGATGTCTATTTCATTAAGAGTCAGTAGGATTTAAGAACGCTAATTTACAATGTGTAATTCTTTGGAATGAGTTTATGGTTCTATACTGCCCTTGGGACAATCATATTGTAGAGCAATGAAAATAAAAATTTCATACATTAAAAATTATTAAGGGAAACACTAAACAAATTTGTTTTGATAAACTATTAAAGAGCATAGCTGAAGCACATAGATTAGTGTGCAAAAATTAATTTTATATTATATGAAATAAAATTTTACTTTCAATTGAATGTAAAAAAAATTAAACACATTTCTTATAATGGTATCAAAATGAAGTAAGGATAAGTGTGTTTAACACAATTTGTGCAAAATTGTATATTAAAAACTATAAAACACAGCTTGGAGCAATTAAAAAATCTGTAAACAATATGTACATGTGCAAGAACTGGAAGATTCTATATTTTTAAGGTGATATTCTTCTCCTAATTAATATGTACATTTTATGTAATCCAACCGAAGGATCTCTACTGAGGTAGAGAATCTCTCTGAAGTACATCACAACTTGATTCCAAAATATATTTGGAATTACAAAAGACCCAGAATTGCTAAAACGTTTTTTGAAAGATCATAATTAAAGGATTTTAACTATTTGATTTTAAGACTTGCTGCAAACCTATAATACATAATACAGTATGCTATTATCATAAGGATCAATAGAAAAGAATGAATAGTTCAAATATATGTACCTACAAAGTGTGATCAAAATAGATAGTGAGTTTGAATTTTTAAAAATGTATCACAGTAGAAGACATACTGCCATGCATCCCTCTTGAGATACTCTCCCTCACTTTGAATGCACTTATTCGATTGTTCTTGCTACTTTCTAAAGCAGCTTCTGGAGTTACTTTCATTTTTGTGAGTGTCTTTACAAAGTGTGATCAAAACTGCAGTAAATGCTGCTACCCTGTGCCATCCATCAAAAATGCAAGCGTCGAAACATTGCTGTGTGTCCTCATTCACCTCATTCACCAGACCTGGCACTGTGCAGCTTCTGGCTCTTCCCCAAAGTCAAAATGACCATGGCAGGTAAGCGTTTTAAAGAGATTCAGGACATGGAAGCAGCCACAGCAGGGCAGCTAAAGACACCCAAGAAAGAGAACTTTCAGAACTGTCTCAGAAAGTTTCAAGAACAGTGGGATAAACGTGTTCAACCTGAACTGGAGTATTTTGAGCACAGGAAAAGCAATGTGGTTTTTGCAATAAAATTTTTATATGTCAATATTCACCATATCTTTGATCTCAAGTATGTATCCAGCAAATTGCTTTATATTAAAAATGTCATTGGGGCTGGGGATTTAGCTCAGTGGCACAGCGCTTGCCTGGCAGGCGCAAGGTTGTGAGTTCAAATGCCGGTACCAGAAAAAAAGCAAAAAATAAAAAATGTCAAATTGTTTTTAAAAATATGCTTCAGTAATTCCATATGGAATGGAAACAAATGGTGTTGGAAGAACTGGATATCCATAAGAAAGAAGCTTCACTACTGTGGGCTGAACTGCATCTTTCCAAAGTTATGTTGAAGCTTTACACACAGACATCGTAAAATTTGGAGCTGGAGCCTGTAGGAGATACTTAGACTTAGGTGAGGCCATGAATGTAGCTACCGTAGAGTACAATCAGTGCCCTTTTAAGCGGATACACCAGAGAACTTGCTCTCTCCTTTGTTCCACCCCATGAAGACACAGGAGGAAGGTGGCCCCTACAAGCCACAGAGACTTTCACCAGGAGCTGTGAGACAACAAAGTTCTAGTTAAGTTAGCCAATCTATTATATTTTGCACGGCAGCCCAAACTGGCTAAAACTACTCATTATAACCAATAATAAACCCAAAACGGTCGAAGAACCACATATGTAAGCTAAAGTTACAAAGTTACAGAAGAGAACATCAAAAATTCACAACTGGAAGACAAAGATTTCTTAAACATTATAACAAAAACATTCTATAGAAAATGTATTGATAAATTAGATGACATTAAAGGTAAAAAAAGTCTGCTCTTTGAAAGACATTATAGAGAGAATAGAAAGTCAAACCATGGTGGGGAAGTCGTAATATCTGTATCAGACAATTTATGTTCATAATCCATAA